TTTTTTTTAGTTTTTCTCCGGTACCGGGAACCGAACTCACGACCTTGCGCTTGCCAGGCAGGCGCTTTTGCCGCTGAGCTAAATCCCCAGCCCCTCACACAGCTTTATTTGGAATCAGTTTAAAATGCAGAAGTCACCTTGTTTCCTTGAATTCTCATGTTAAACTCCACCTCCACCACCTGGCCATCTCTTCCCGGGCTCCTCTTTGCCCACCTAGTTAGGAAGTCCCTCTCCTGATTTCTATAGCTAATTTCCCTGGCTCATATCTCTGACCCTACTTATAGTTTAAATCAGATTATTTTCCTCAGGGCCTGGAACAAGAGCTTGGGACTCCTCCGTTCTAAAATGAAGAAGAAGGAGAGAGGGAAAAGGAGAAAGAGGAGGAGGAGAGGGAGGAGGAGAGGGAGAAGGAGAGGGAGAAGAATGAGGAGATGGAGGGAGGAGGGAGAGGAGGGGAGAGGAGAAGAGAGGAAGGAAAGGGAAGGGAAGGGGAGAGGAGGGGGATGAAGAAGAGGAGGAAGAAGGTGGGGGAGGGGGAGGAAGGGGGAGGAAGGGAGGGAGAAGGGAGGAGGAGAAGAAGGGAAGGGGAGAAAAAGAAGAAGGGTGGGGAGAGGAGGAAGTGTCCGAGAAGGAGGGAGAAGAGGAGAGAGAAAAGGACAAGAGGGAGGAGTGGGAGAAGAGACAAAAGAGAAGCAGGGGGAAGGTAAGGGGAGGGAGGGGAAAAGGCGGGAAGCGGAGGAGAGGGAGAGGGAGGGGAGGGAGGAGGGGGATGGGGAGGAGGAGAGGAAAAACTACCACGAAACTTTCTCAGCCCTACTGTCCCCTCCAGTAAATCCTGTTTCTCACCTTTTATCCCCTGCCAGTGGCCGTCAGCAAGTGAACGGCGCTGCACTCTCTAGACTTTCCGTTCCTCTCCTTTCGCTGTTGGGAACTTTTTGGCCGTGCTGAGACCACGCAGGCAGGCTGCGCAAGACCCTGGCCGTGGCTCGCTCCTCCCACTCTCTGGGTGCGAGCACGCGCAGGACTGCGACTACTGTGCCTGCTGCTCCTTGCAGAGCTGGGCCGGTCATAGTTTTTTAATGGGCCTGCGAGTGACTTCCAGATACATTTCTCCAGCCCTGACTCCCCTCTTGAACCCGACGACCCCCTCATGTGCATTTCCATCTTTCATTCAGCAGGTCCCAAACTCATTTTCCCCGAAGAAATCACCCTTCTGAAATCCCTGCTTCGGTGGATGGCGTCGTTTCTTCTATGACCCTATCTTCACAATTTTGAAATGTCTCTTGCTTCTCCTCTACTTTCCATACCCATCTGTGCGTTTTGATTCTTCCTTTGCAGTATTTACCAGCTTTTCTTCCTGCCCATATCACCTCTGCTCTAAGGCCTTCACCTCACCTGCCTCCTCTGCCTGTCATTCTCTCATCTGTTTCTCCAGACCCTGAGCTTCCTCCAAGTCCCACACCCAAGTCCACTTTTTTCTTGAAACTATCTCAAGTTCACTTTAGCATACAGCAATGTCTCCTTCCAGTAACCACCATCAATATCTTCTGCTCCATCACATAGTACTCTCTGTTTGCTGTAAGTGCCATGTTTTCCTCACACTCTGTCCCTACCCCTAGATTAGGAGGGTTCTGGGAGGAGCAAGGACTCTGTCTAATACCCCTTTCCAATACCATCATATAGCGCTATTCCTATATTTAATAAATGCTGTTGATCATAACAATAAAAATAAAAATTTTTTTCCTACCTCAGAAGTGATAATAAACCTAATTATTTGTGTCAAAGGCTAAAGGACCAAGCTGCACACAGCAACCTGAACAGTCCATACAACGCACGTGAGAACTTCCCCTTACTTCTAAGCCCTCGCCTCTCACCAGCAGCTCCAAGGTGAGGGCGTGGTGCTGGGAGCCAAGACAAGCACTCAGCCCAGACATCCTGAAAGACCTGGGCTCTAGTGTATCTTGTGGCCCAGCTCTTCCCACCCACCGGGCAATGTCTCTTGTCCTGGATGTACACCGGGATGCCAGTTGGGCAGACCTTTCTTCCCCTTTCCATTCTCCGCTATGCTCTACCATGCAGATATTTGAGAACTGAGGGACATGGTCCCCGCCTTTAATTGAAAACAGGTGAACTAACAGGAGAGGGAGCCATGATTATGTTCAGCGGAGTGGGCAGGAAAGCAGAGTAAAGGACAGCTGCTGAATTTTGAGCTTTGTGCTGGAAACTGTGGTCAACTAACTGGATTTGCTCTACCACTATAACATTGCTTCCTACATCCGGAGTCCCCAGCATTGGAAAGCACACCCCTGGAACTGGTTTTCCAATAGGGTGTGTGTGTTCCCTCCAACCTGCCTCCTGATACACTTATACACAGAAGTGGAGGGAATATTCTAGCAAAGTTAGCAGCTTGTCCTACAGGGACTATATATGTAAGCCAGATATGCTCTAGACAATTTCAATTTCTAATACTCTTGTATACCTCAGAATACCGTTTTTATGTGGGAGTTTCTGGTGATTATCATTTAACTTTTGTTATTGCATAATTGTACTACAACTTCATTCATTACCCATGCAATGACAGTAAATAACTATAAATGCAATATTCTAATGACAGGGGGAAAATATATAGCAAACTCATTCATTCTTCGTCAGTCACATGCTTCCCTTTGGTTTGGTGACTCTGCTTACCATCTAACTCCAGGCCAACCCATTGCCCTGGACTTTTTAGCTTTCCATACCCAGACTTGTTAAGGAGTGAGATATTGGGAAACCAGGGTCACAAAATGCCCAGAGTTGTCCATAGCAGAAGCAGTTTCAAACTGAAAGATCAAGGCAGCTGTGAGTCCCTCCAGACCAGGAAAGATGTTCCAGGCGGAGTGGCTTTGCCTGCTACACCCCCTCCCTGAGTCCCATCATCTCGTGGATGTTTTCTGAAAGCAGAGATTCTGCCGAGGGCAAACGTGCAAATGCCTGTCTTTGATTCCCTAATTTAGACAGTGATTAAGAAAGAGGCATGGGATGAGTCAGGCACATTTCTAGAGGGCTCCCTAGGCAGCTTACAAGAAAGAAGTGAGCCTCTCTGTGCTAATGTGGAAGGATCTTCAAGATACATTGAGCAAAAATCAGCATGAACAGTATGATCCCATTTTTATAGAGAAATAAATTTAGAATTTTTCATACATGTAAATGTATAGAAAAAGCCAAACAATAGAAATCATCTCTTTGTCAAAAAAGGAGAACTTTAGGGGAGCATAGGGGAGTTCTCACTTTGTTTTATAAGATTCCTTAAGAGGAATAAGATGATGGGTTACTTGGATAATTTGAAAAACTAAAACATTATTTAAAATAATATAAGAAGTAAAATAAATGATCAAGGTGGCTTGTTATCTGTGCCTAAAACCAATTAAAATAACTTCTGGCAGGGAAGGAAAGAATGACTTCAATTCATCTGCTTTCTTTATCTAATCCTTCAGCAAATCCTCAGAATGCATGGAGACTTCAACCATTTTTGCCCACTAGCCCTGCGCTTTCCCTGGCTAAGCATCAACATCTCTCGCGTGCATGCCTGCAAGGGCTCCTATCTGCTTGCCTTGATTCTATTCTTGCTCTATTTTCCATATTTGAAAATTGCTACTCCTCCACTAGGGAAACACCATTGGTTCTTCATCCATTTAGGGGAAAAGCCACCAGCTATACAGTACCTTCAAATCCATGTAAAGCCTCTCATCATGTCCCCAGCCCCATCCCCTACAGCACATAACTCCATCCACTCTGGCCTCTCTGCTGCTGCTTGAATACTTCAGCATATTCCTACCTCAGGACATTTGCTCTTATTGTTTCCTCTGCCTGAGATGCTGTCTCCCCAGATTGCCTCATCATTTCCCCCTCACTTTCTTCATGTTCAACTGTCATCCTTCCAGTTACCCTGAACACTCCCGTCTCATTTTTCTGTTTTATTTTTTGCAGTCATCAAACATTGCTATATAGTCTATGTCTAATTTTGTTTATCCCCCTACTGAAATTTAGGCTCCATTATGAGATATTATGAGGATGGAAGTATAATCTAACTATTGTATTTGCAGATAATTAGGATTAGATGAGATCATAGGGATGGGACTCCCATAATTGCATCAACAGTTTTATAAGAAGAGGAGGAGAGACCTGAGCTAGAAGCTTGCTTTATCTCACCCTGTGATGCCCATGTTGCCTGGAGATTTGCAGAGCCCCCACCAAACTCAGCCCCTTGACCACGGACTTCCAGAACAATGAGCTAACTCCTTATTCTTTATAAATTACCCAGTCTATAGTATTCAGTTATAGCAACAGAAAATGCGCAAAGAATGCTACCACTAATAATGGTGGCCCCTGCTGCTATTTATTGAGGGGCTTTGTTTTCCAGGTGTATATATGTATGTGTGTGTGTGTGTTGTAACTCACAAAAACTCTGCCTGCATGTAGATATTACTATGCCCATTCATTTGATAGGCAAGGAAAGGGAGTTTCATACAAGTTAGATAACACCCGTACTCGAATTGCTTGTGAGGAGTCAGTATTGAAGCATGTGTCGGACTTCAGAGCCTTGATGTGTCTCCCTCATCACATTGCTTGATTTGTGGGGGCCAGCTGAGTATGTAACGGAGCATCTGAGAAGCCGTACAGATGGGCATAGATAGGAATGGCCTCAGTTTTTATAAACTATTTCTTTCTCAGAGAGTTCTGGAGTCTTTTGTCCCTGAACCAATAAAATGGAAGTGTCATTTTGCTTCCAGGCCATCTTGGGGCAGGGGGCAAGTTTAAGGTGACAATCACAAGAAAGAGCTGAAACCACAAACCTTCTCAAGCCCAAAACAGAAACCCAAATCTGGCCAAGCTATTATTTTTGTTTAAATCTTAGGTGCCATGTGTGGTGACCCACATGAAATCCCAGCATTTAGGAAGCTGAGGCAGAACTGCTGTGAGTCTGAGGTCAACCTAGGCTGTACAGTGAGCTCAAGGCCAACCTGAACTACATAGTGAGACCCGTCCCAAAAAACTAAAACTGACAAAAAATGTAATAAAAAGGCCTTTCATGAGGCTGTACTCCAGACTATTAGGACGAAGACTAAGTTCCTTCTGCAGGCCCCCTCGCCCCCTCAGGTCTGGTCTCTCTCCTGCTGAATGGCTAAATAGCCAAATGGATGGGTAGACCCTGTTTTAGTCTAGTGCTCCCAGCTGGAATTTCTGCAAGAGCCCTCTGAAGAATATAAGCCATTCCAAGAGTCAGAAGGGTCATAAGCAGCAGTATCCCAAATAGTAGAAAGTAAATAATGAGTATTGTCAGAGGGAATGTCTTCCACCACCTTGGCGTGGTATGTCTGCTCTGAGGCAGTTCCTTCAGCAAAGATCATGCAGAAACTGCCATGGTGGGGTGGATGAGGGCTTCTGCAACCCCATAGGATCAGTAGACCTTACCTGGGCCCAGTTCTGCACTGTCCACTGCAAGATGGCCGCAAGCCACAGGGGTCAGTTGGGCTCCTCAAATTAGAGAAGTGTGGCCAAAGAAGTGATTTTAAAATGTTATTTCATTTTATAATTGGCATTTAAATGTAAAAGTGATAATTCAGTTAGAGAAAAATGTAAGTATGCTTGGAGCAACTTGAATATGTCCCTTTACTTTTTCAACAGTAAATTTTAGGAAATCTGAATGTAGGTTAAGTATTTCTTAGTGAAAATTTAACACTCAATATAAAATGTGCTATAAGCATAAAATATGCCAACCTTTAAAGACACTACAAAAAAGCAAAACATCTCATTAATAATTTTATATTAATTATGTATCAAAATATTATAGAAATATTAAATAAAGACATTATTGAAATACATTATCTGATTAATTTTGTTTTTTTAATATAGCTGCTAGAAATTTTCAAATGTCTATGTAGCCACAATACCTTTCTACAGGACAGAGCTTTCCTAGACTCCTGATTTAGAAAAAGACAGGAAAATATTCCTTTCAAACCAGAGCAATCTAAGTTTTAGACAGACACCAGTGACCCATATTCAGAAGGAAGAAACAATTAAAAGGGGAGTCTTCCTTCTTTATATGAAAAAATTACCATGTTAAAATCTTAAGTGGTAGACATCTGAAAAATATCAAGGGCTATGAAAGAGCAGCAAAATTTATCTTCTTCCACAGCTAGCTGTAATGTTCCTCATCCTCACCATGGAATTTTCAACCATGAGGGAGTTGTAGATCGTGAAGGCCTCTTCTTTTGGACTGCTTTGTCTGGCATATCAGCTAAACCAGTAATGAGATGATGATGGTGACTATAAATTACGTTGTTCTTCTGAAGAACCTTTCCTCCACAGATTTTGCAAGCTTTCAAAATGCTAATTAAAGCTTTCACAATAGCCTACAAGGTCAAAAACTCACCTCAGATTGACTGGTGGGAAAGCACAGTCATGGTAATTCGCCTAAGGCCCCAGAGCCCAGCAGACAGCATGCAAAGTCACTTAGCCAGGCTGCGAATCCCACTCACTCCTGAGCAGATGCCAGCCAATGAATCACAAACGTTATTCCTTCTTCCCAGAGTCCCAGCACCCTTGAACTATCTATCCCCTTGTACAGGGGAGTGATGTCCTTTGGAAAGGAGCCCTCAAAAAACTGATCTTACCAAGTACTTACCAGAGAAAGGAAGATTATTAAAGAGCCATTTGGACTGGTACTTTTTGACCATTTCTTCATAGAGTGTAGTTTGGGGCCCTGCCACACACAGTGCGTCCCACTGAGCAACACCATTGACGTTGCTTGAGATCTCAGAAATACACACTCAGGCCTCACTCCAGACCTGCTGAGTGAGAAGGGCGTTTTTGCAAGTTCCCTAGGATGTGTGTGTGCCGCAGTATGGGAAGCACAATGGAGAGCTTAGGCTATTAGCTCAGCTTCTTTACTGTGAGTGATTTAGGAAAAGACATCTGTATCTCTCTCTCTCTCTCTCTCTCTCTCTCTCTCTCTCTCTCTCTCTCTCTCTCTCACACACACACACACACACACAATTTTTCAATCTCTACACACTTGCTCCTTTGTAAGGCTTTGCAAAGTTCTCAGTACCCCCCTAGTGACCATCTTTCCTATGGATATAGGTCACCTACTCTACCTATTTTATGCAATCTTAGCACTGTTGCTCAAAAATCATTTGGCTGCAAGAGTGGTGCAAACTCAAATGCCTACAGAGACCCGGCAGGTAACAAGGCCAAGTGTAAAGAGCCATGTTTGTTCCATGTTTGTTCCTTCCACAAGATGCACAGCAAATTCCTATAAAGCACTCACGGAGTCATCACTTTCACCAAGTAACATGTCTATTCCCAATAACATGCCTATTCAAACATGATCTATCTTCTGTTTTCCCAGTTTTGATAGAAATTGAAAGCTCAAGAAGCTCATTAAATTTCCTTTGACTCTTCTGTGTGAGAAAACTAAGAGCAGAGCAGAGCCAGCCCCGGCTCGAGCACTTGTGGAGCAGCAGCAGCTGTACCGTTACAGAATACACACCAGGGCGAAGGCAGTGCCTCTCAGCCCAAGGACTTTCTTCATGTGAGAATTTGGGTTCATTTTACTGGATCCTCCCATTTCTGAAAGAGAAGCCGGAAATCTGGATTTTTATGTGAAATTTCTCATTTTTTAATGTTGGCAACCAATTGAATATCTTTAAAGGCCAAACAATTTCTTTGCAGGCCAAACAAAACACATCTGTAAGCCAAACTCTTCACCCTCCGGACTGTGGTTTAAACGTCCCTTAGAACAAACTCTTAAAAGGGCATCTTCGCATTTCAGTTCAGGTTAATGTCCACCCGTGGCCTCATCAAGCGGGGTCTGCATGCAGAAGCACCTGGGAGAGCATCGTGAAGCCCACCCTTTCCGCAGGGATGAGGCGGGCAGGGCAGGGAACCACTTCCAAAGAGGCCATGAGTTGGGTGATCATCCTAACATGCATTTTACATTAACAAATGTGAAAACAGGACATTTTAGAGGACACCGTACCACAGATGTTTTGAAAAGTTAGGCTTATTTGGGTGTAGATTCACTTTTTTGAGTGCAGAGCTCTACGACTTCTGACATACAAAGACTGATCAAAAAATAGAGTGTCTGTTCAAATTTTTTTTAATTATAGTAAAAACTACTCCCCATTGCTTCGAACATGCTTATCCTACTGCTCTTGCAATTCTCTGAAGCAGTTCTGGAAGTCCTTCATCAGTATCTTTATGAGATCTGATCAAAAGTACCATGAATACTGCTGCTGAGTGTCCTCCAACAGAAAGGCAGGCTTGTAAAAACATTGTGCTGTGTCCTTTTGGTAATTTGGAAAAATTACCAAACTTTATTCACCAGATCTGGCACTATGTGATTTCTGACTCTTCCCTAAATCAAAATGGCTATGGAAAGTAAACATTTTGAATATACTCAAGACATTGAGTCAGCTAGGACAAAGCAACTAAAAACACTCACAAAAGACTTCCAGAATTGCTTCAGAAAGTGGCAAGAATAATGGAACAAGTATGTTTGAAGCTAAGGGAAGTATTTTGAGGGGGATTAACGACAATGTGTCATTTACCATAATAACTTTAAAAAACAAGTTCAGACACTCGTATTTTTTATCACATTTCATATGTATGCAATCGTTTAACCACTACCAAAATTAAGACATAGAGCAATACCATCACTCCCAAAACTTCCCCTATACTCCTCTGCAGTATAGACTCTTCTCCTAATCTCTGGCAACTATTGATATAGTTGCCATAGTTT